ATTTAAACTGCTGAAATTCCATAAATCTATTATGGCTAATTCCATATTGTGCCACTAGATCCTGGAATGGAATAAAGTTACTGCCTTGCATTACATGCTCTAGATGTCTTATCCCTTTGTCATACCACAGTGGGGAATTTAGTGTTTTCTTATTTTGCAGGATGTCAGGATTATTCCAGATTGGGGTAAATCTGCATGGGATAGGTGAAGACCCAGATATTTTGAGAAGTTCCCACCAAGCTGCCAAGGAAGTGCTTATGTTAATGCTTTTAAAGCAGGTATGACGTTTGATGCTGGAACTGATGAATGGCATATCGGAAATTTTAATTTCATTACAGAAGGTTTGTTCTATGTCCATCCATGAGTGGTCCAGGGGCTCTGATTTATCCATTTTGAGATATATTGTAGTCTATTAGACAGGAAGTAATGATAAAAATTTGGCAGTTCTAAACCACCACAGTCTTTTGCTTTTTGCATAGTTTTTAGACTTATTCGTGGGGGTTTATTTTTCCACAAAAATTGATTCATTGAGATGTTTGAGTCCAGTGATTTAAACCAGACAGCAGAGGGTTTAGTGGGTAACATTGAAAACAGATAATTGATTTTAGGTAGGACCATCATTTTTATGGTGGAGACTCTTCCCATGAGTGATATAGGTAATGATGTCCACCGTACAAGGTCATCCTCTATAGATTTAAGTAAAGGCGTGTAGTTTAGCCATGTCAGTTCTGACAGCCTGGAGGAAATATTGACACCCAGATATTTAATATTCCCAGACTTTAGCGGTGTGGTAGATATACTCTGGAAATCACACTTTACAGGTAAAACTATGGATTTACTCCAGTTAATGGAGTAGTCTGAGATGGATGAGAATTTATCTATAAGTGTGATTGTCTCAGAAAGAGAAGTTTGTGAGTTTAGGAGGAAAAGTAATACATCATCTGTCTGATCGCAGCTGCTAGCGGTTCTATAAAAATAGCAAATAGCGAGGGAGAGAGTGGGCAACCCTGCCTGGTACCCCTCTGGAGACTAAAGCATGGAGAAGTATGATCATTTGTTTTGACAGAAGCTCTTGGGGAACTGTATAAGATTTTAATCCAATCTATGAAAGAGTTTCCAAATCCAAATTTATATAAAGTAGCGAATAGAAATTTCCAATTTACTCTGTCAAATGCTTTCTCTGCATCTAAAGAAACAACTATAGTTTCCAGGTTATGAATAGTGGCATAGTCTATTACGTTAAGTAGCCTGCGTGTATTGTTGGTGGAGTGCCTGCCCTTAATAAATCCTGTTTGGTCAGAGTGTATTATACCAGGAGTGACCTTCTCTAGCCTTCTTGCTAGGGTTTTGCAGATGATTTTAAGATCTGCGTTAATAAGTGATATTGGGCGATAACTGGACGGGAGTGTGGGGTCTTTGTCTGGTTTAAGGAGCAGGCTGATATTAGCAGAATTCATTGTTGGAGGCAACATGCAAGTACCCCTAATTTGCATAACCATCCTATAGAATGTGGGCGCAAGTATTTCCCAGAATTCCTTATAGAGTTCAGCGGGAAAACCATCTGGCCCAGGGGCTTTATTATTCGGCATATGTAAGAGAGCTTCCTGGAGTTCAGCCATTGAAACAGGTGAATCCAGAGCCCTGATCTGTTCATCATCTAACCTTGGCAAATCTATATTGTTCAGAAATGCATCTATGTTAGAGCTGGATGGGTCAATTTGTGATGTATATAAGTTTTTATAATAATCTCTGAATGCATTGTTGATTTCTTCTGGGTTATAAGTCAGATTCCCAGCTGAGTCCTTTAAGGAAGAAATAGTTATTTTTCTTTATTCAATTTCAATTGGCTGGCTAAGAATCTGCCGGATTTGTTGCCATGTTCAAGGTTCTCCAAGCGTAGTCTTTGCAATTGAAATTGGGTCTTTTTATTAATAATTTCATTTAATTCAAGTTTTGATTTTCTCAGATCATTCAGCATGTGTTCCTGTGGGGAGGCAGCAAGGGTAGTTTCTAATGTTTTTATTTTTTGTTCTAGCTGTAATTCACAAGATCTCTCTTTCTTTTTTTTGTATGATGAATAGGAGATTATTTTACCTCTCATGACTGCTTTTGCTGCCTCCCAAAGAAGACATGGTGAGGTTCCTGGCAGGTCATTAATTTCCATATATATTGCCCACTCCTTTTTGAAGTAATTTATAAAATCTAGGTCTTTAAGCAATGATGCGTTAAATCTCCAACTTCTAGTTGGCCGTGTGACCCTTTTGTAGTAAGAGTGATAGAAACCGGTGCATGATCACTGATAGTGATAGGGTGAATCTGAGTGTTGGAAATGTCTGTCATAATTGAGCTGCTAACCAAAAAATAGTCAAGGCGAGAATATGAGTGGTGGACTGGTGAAAAGAAGGTATATTCTCTAAGAGTGGGGTGGTGAGAACGCCAAACATTGCAAAGACCAAAATCGCTCATGTATTGTTTAAGGATGTCTGTTGATTTCCAAATACGGTGACCACCTGCCGTACTGAGCCTGTCAACTGCTGGATTACATACCATGTTGAAGTCCCCTCCTAATATAAGGGACAAGGGAGTTGAGCTCTTGTCTGCATCTGCATTGGATGTCATCCCCATTGTCAGTGTCCTTAAACGCGATCTCACACAAGAAAATGAGGCAGACAATGAGGGAATTAAGAACATGAAGGGCACCCTCTTGGAATCTGAAGCCATTATACTCGGTAGCAATGCTACTGGATCCAAGATATAAAGACAGGTATGTGGGGTTTATGTTAACTTAAGTTAATTTTAAGCATGATGTTATGCAAAATGCATCCATACAAATGTATTTTAAAAAGTTTGGTTGTTTAAGAGAGGGATAAAGACTGTATCGGATTGGTATCGGCAGATACTCAAAGTTGCTGTATCGGTATCGGACATAAAAAAGTGGTATCGAGCCATCCCTAGACAGAATCAGATTTATTGCCATTTATTGCCTCGCAAAGCAGCTGGGCCGGAAGCCACCCTGAAGCAGTACCCATCCACCCTGAAACACTGCGCCAATCAGCTGTCTCCATCTGTTCACGGACATCTGTAACACATGCCATGGCACATGGTCTACTGCTTAGATGACCTCACCACAGGTTTACAGCGTTACTAAACGACTACAGACCTGTCGCCCTGACATTTGTGGTTATGAAGTCCTTGGAGTGCCTTGTGTTGTCCCACCTAAAATCCGTCACTGACCCACTCCTTGACCCCCTGCAGTTTGCCTACAGAGCCAACAGGTCTGTAGATGATGCAGTAAACATGGCCCTTCACGCCATCCTCCAGCACCTGGACTCCCCAGGAACCTACACCAGGATCCTGTTTGTGGATTTTAACTCTGTTTTCAACACCATCATCCCGGCCCTGCTGCAGGACAAGCTCTCCCACCTGAACGTGCCTGACTCCACCTTCAGGTGGATCACAGACTTCCTGACAGACAGGAAGCAGCACATGAAGCTGGGAAAACATCTCTCTGACTCCAGGACCATCAGTACCGGATCCCCTCAGGGCTGCGTTCTTTCCCCTCTTCTCTTCTCCCTGTACACCAACAGCTGCACCTCCAGTCGCCAGTCGGTCAAGCTCCTGAAGTTTGCGGATGACACCACCCTCATTGGGCTCATCTCTGGTGGGGATGAGTCTGCCTACAGGTGGGAGATTGACCATGTGGTGACCTGGTGCAGCCAGAACAGTCTGGAGCTTGACGCTCAAAAGACAGTGGAGATGATCGTAGATTTTAGAAGGAGTCCAGCCCCACCCTCCCCCATCACCCTGCGTGACTCCGCAGTCGCCACTTTGGACTCCTTCTGCTTCCTGGGGACCATCATCTCCCAGGACCTCAAGTGGGAGCTAAACATCACTTCCCTCACCAAGAAGGCCCAGCAGAGTACTTCCTGCGGCAGCTGAAGAAGTTCAGCCTGCCAAAGACAATGATGGTGCACTTCTACACCACCATCATCGAGTCCATCCTCACCTCCTCAATCACCATCTGGTACGCTGCTGCCACCGCCAGGGAAAAGGGCAGGCTGCAGCGTATCATTCTGTCTGCAGAGAAGGTGATTGGTTGTCACCTTCCCTCTCTTCAGGACCTGTACGCCTCCAGGACTCTGAGGCGTGCAGGAAAAACTGTGGCTGATCCCTCCCATCCCGGACACAAACTGCAGCTGCAGTCTATCAGGACCAAAACCTCTCGCCACAAAAACAGCTTCTTTCCAATTGCAGTGGGCTTCCTCAACAAGGCGAGGGTCCCCACTGTCACTGACTCTCATGCCACCCTCCCCAAACACACACTCAAACACACTCCTGACTACAACACTCCTACAACAACGCTCAACTGTGCTTTATGCTCATGTTGTGAATTTTTGCACCTACTTGTCAGCATTGTATTATAGTATTATTGTTATTTATATACCAAGGCAAATTCCTTGTATGTGAAAATGTACCTGGCAATAAATCTGATTCTGATTCCAATTTAGAGGAAAACAGACTATAAAGCAGGGTATGCTTTGGGGCATGGCTACTTTTCACTAAATGACGACCTGTCAGGCATAGTATCCTTCCCCAGCTCCACCCTCTTGACAAAACATGGTCACTTCCAGTTAAAAAAAACCAAGATGCCAAACTTATGGCTTCATAATGGTAGTCTACAAACCTAAGGTTATGCTAGATGTTATGTAATGTTACGGTGGTTATGTCCACTTTCTTTTATACAGTCTATAATCACGGCTTGTGGACTGTTTTCATACTGCTTTATATGCTTATGTGTAATTACTGTTTGTGGGTTTAATGTGAGAATGGCTGAGTTGGCTGGAGCGCACGTATTGACAGCACATTCAGATCGTCAACTGTTCTTTTATAATGTCTGCCGTGTATTAATACTGAGTATCTAGAAACAGACTCACATATCTCACTACAGTAAGTGCTGAATTAATGTGGAATCAGCATCACACAAAAACAAAGCTACATACCTGAGTGAGTGGATGTATGGTAAAGCTTCTAAGAGGGACTCGCACAGACTTTGGCAGGCAGGAGTTTCCCTGTCCCAGTGGATGCAGACATTAACCTGCGTAGTGATCTTCTGCATGACTTTTACTGCTCTTTCAAACAGCCGTCTTTTACCCTCAACTGGAAGGTGCAACTGATTTCCATCAAGGCCGAGTAAGCTGATGTGGTTCATCTGCCATCTGTCCTCACTGAGAAGGAAATCCCCCACAGCTGCCGTGGCAGAGGGCCACACCTGTAATTTAAGAATAATCAGAGACAATTTCCTCATTTACAAAGTAATAGAGTAGAGTAACAGTAAAGTTTAATTAAATAGCCTGTTTAGGTAAAAGAAGCTACAGCAGAAGTACCATGTTTTATTTTCTCTGAATATTTTCCATCCATTTTTTACACCCACTTATCCTATTCAGAGTCAAACTATTTAGTCATCCTTATTACCTCTTGGATTAATTAATAGGCACAAAGCCAAACTACTTCTTAATTAGATATGTTGAAACTAGGGCTGCAACTAATGATTATTTTCGTAGTTAATTAGTCAATTACCAAGAAAAGACTGGAGTGCTCCAAGATAACAGCCAGGCTTAATCACCCAAAATAATAAGCTCACAATCAGGTTTATTGGCAGTTTGCCAGATATTTGCTTTGATATTTTGGTGCATAAATACAAATTTTATCAAATAAATTAAAAGCGTACTGTAAACTGTATACTAATAATGTAATGTCTATTTAGAACAATAAAGTAACAGTCCACTTTCATGCAATTTCTGTATAATTTTTATTTTCTTAAAGTGCTTCTAAGTTTTACGAGCCAAGCATGTTAAGCACATCACAAGCAGCTGTATATTTACTTTATTAACATTTCCAACATTACTCAGATTGTAAAGACAGAACACTGGCGGTATGAACACTGAAAACTATCTTACATTTGTGGCCTTTACTCAGCCATTGTTGGTCAGTTGTCTGCTGCAGTAGACTTTGTAACTGTGGGACCTGAGGGCTCTGTGGGCGTGACTGGCCAGCTAGCTAGCTAGCTTCTGCACCGGCACTTGGAGCTTCTCAACCTCCACAATTTATGAGCCCATTTTTGATTGGCCATAAACTTTCCTAAAACTGCCAATATTATAAATCTACAGTTGACTTCTCACCTCAAGACTTCTCAGAAGTGGATTTAGTGATGAAATAGCAAACAAAACTTGTTAAAAAAAACCATTCTTTTGTTAGCCTCTTTCTCTGCTGCTTTCCCCTTCTCGCTCAAATGCTTCTTTTTCGTGAGTAGTAAGTACAGTCATGCAGTCATGGCAGACAGTTAAAGAGATACTGCAGTTTCTGTAGTGCATTGCAATTACAAATGAACAACCAGAAATATTTTTATCTCCCGCCTTAAACAACCTCTCTGTAACGGCGCTTCAACAATAAAATTCAGCATCAACAAATTTTATAATCGTATAAACGATTATCTTGACTAATCGTTGCATTCCTAGTTATAACCTAAACAGTAACTTGACACTTTCTACACACGCTCACACATACCACTGGACATTTTGAAGGCATCCTAACAGTCGTCTCATTCCTTGCTCTGACACCATGACGTCCTCCAGGTTCAGCCATATTTTCCTCTCCTTCGATTGAGTGACCACATAGGCCACAGCAGAGCAAAGGTAAGGCTCGAGACTCTCTCCACTGAGATCAAGATGGTAGTCCAGTTTCTCCAGAAAGATGATGCATGCTTCAGGACACTGGGACTCATAGAAGCACTGACATAAGAACAGTATGTCCACATAAAGCCCACTGTCCTCTGTATCAGCCTCATCTTTCTCACAGAGACGAGGTAAAAATGTGGTTATCAGTTCCTCGAAGAACCAGTCAGACGTGTTCTTGAGCTCCTGAGCTGGAATCAGATGCTTCATCAAACTAGGTCTCTTGTCAGTCAGCAGTCGACACATGAAAGGGATCAGATGTTTCATGTGTTTCTTCTCCTCAGTGAGGCACTGCTGAAAAACATCCCTGATCTTATCTGGATACTTCAGCAGCCACAGTGCTGCAAAAAACTCCTGCATTGTGTAATGGAGAAATGCATGAGTGGTGATTGTCTCAGTGGGGGCCACTTTGATAACAAGAGGTTTCATGAAGGAGAGGACGCAGCTGTCTTCACAGGGCAGTTCTGTCAAGTTCACAGTTTTTTCTACAGTTGCTTTAAAAGCAAACTCGGCCAGAGACAGAATTTCTTCACTCCTGTTGTTGATGAATGAATTTAGATCTTTGGTTTTTGTTTTGTTGATTGTTTGAAGGCAATGACGAACAATATTGATGTAGATTTCAGTTACAGTGCATGACTGTGGAGAGTCTTCTGGTGTCTCTGATGAAAAGCAGACAGCCACCATCAGTGCATACATTGGGACATGGCAAAGAGTTAACAACTCCAGGTTGCTCAAAACCTTCTCCTGTTCTTCTCCTAGAGTTGCAGATAAATATGTTTTTATGGTCTGCTCACTAAAGCCTTTCACTTCCACTCTGAGGAAGTCCCCAGAAAGGAAGTCTTCTTCATCATCTGGTCTGCATGTTATGATGATCTTGGCATCAGGTAGTAGGTCCTTCTCTACAAGTCTCTTCACCACTGATGAAGAGAGATCTGTGATTCCATCAAAAATGAGTGTAACATTGTCAGAGTTCTTCTTTATGTCCTGTAAGACCTCTTCTTTGCCTTCATCTGGCTCACTGATCACACTGAAAAGAAGATCCTTCAGGCTCTTGGCCATCATGATGTGGGATGTTTCTCTCATGTCAAAGTAGAACATGTAGTCGAGCTCCTTGTTGTCTCTTTCTGCCCAAAGTTTCAACATTTCGTGAGTGAGTGCTGTCTTTCCAATTCCAGGCTTACCAACCAAGAGGATGTTTTTATCGGTCTTCAGCAGCTCACTGGGGGAAATGTCTGGTCTGTCTTCAGGGATGTATGTCCTCAGCTTTTTAGGGCGACTCATCTTGCTCTTCTTGCTCTTCAATGTCTTTATTTTAGATGGAGAAACACTTCCTTGTGTGTCTAATACAAGTGCAGTGTACGACAGATCAGGCTTGTTGTTTCCTTCCAAAAGATTTTTGTTTTTCTTCCAAAACTCATTTGACATTTTTTGTGCTTTTGACTTCAACTTCGCCTGATATCTGTGGCACGGCCTGGAGCCTAAAATAAAAACAACAGTGAGTGAATAAATATACTGTGAATGAACTGCTGTGCCCTCACACTAAATGAGAGATAAATATTTACACATTAAAGTGCATTATATAAAATCAGCTAGATAAATAGTAAAACGTGACATGCTATCAATCAGAATTCAAAATACCTTGTAAGCAGTTTATATCCATCTGTGTGTCGTCCTTGAAAGAAAAGCAGCTGATCCAGTGGTGCAGGTCAAACTTCCTGGTCTCAGTAGAAGCTGAACTCTTTGTCTCAGGGAGAAGGGACGTCCTCCCTAAGGTCCTCTTCCTCGTCACGTCAATAATCCTGAGGAACTCGTAGCACGCTGCTTCGCCCTTCTTAGTGACTGAGTCCAGGATTCTCCTTGTTTTATCATAGTCATCTCTCTCTGCCTGTATTTTGCTGACCTCTTCATCACTAAAAACTCCTTGCTGGTACAAGTTCTCCACAACCACTGACAGATTATTTAATTCTCTCACAAGGTGTTTTCTAGCACTCCTGATGTAATCTAATGCAGACTGTGTCGTAGAAGCCATGTGTCCTTACTTCTGTATGTTCTGCACACAGACCTAACTTCAATAATCTGGAGAACAAAACACCAGGTTAAATCAAATGTTAATGACAACAATTATTCGGCCTGGGATGTATTTACTATTATGTAAAATCTGGTGCAATATTTAACAGTTTAACATAAATTCAAATGGAGCTTATCAATTCCAAGATGGATACCTGTGTCCATCTGAAGAATGAACACCGATGACAGGGTGGAGCAGTGGTGTCCAAACTACGGCCCGTGGGCTAACTGTGGTCCACTGCCTGATTTTAAATGCCCTGCGATGATTTTTTAATATACAAGTAGAATATGGTTTGAGCTTATTTCTAATACATTTCACTCTTTGTACGTTGCAGATCCTACCTTCAACACTAGATGTCGCTGTCATCTTGAACCACTGCTATCTAGAGCCTTGAGCTACAATAATAGTGACTTCTTATATTTTCCCCTGAATCCAAACATTCCTGAGATCTGGTCCTTTATAGTCTCTTGTCTCACATCTCCAGATCTGTCTCCACACTACATGTATATTGTCTGCAGATCAGAAAAATGTCCTGGCTGAACCATAGACTGAATATAAAAAGGGCTGGACCAGCTGTTTTCAGAGTTTAAAAATGCTTGTTGTGTCTGAGCTGTTTGAAATTCTTAAAACAATCAGAACTGTCAGTGTGTTAGTGTGAGGCACTAACTGTTCAATATAGTAAAACATCTAACAGATAAACAAGAGTTCTTTTATTTTTAATAAATAAGTGCTGCTCAATTAGAAAATGCAACTTTAGGCTTTTAGTTTCTTTCCGGTTTATACACAGAGCAGTATTACACAGTTTGGAAACTTCAGACTTTCACTGCTGCTGTTTGATGAGCTCTCTCTGAGCTAAAAACGGCACATAGATGAACTAAAGATGAAGGAAGTTCACAAACAGTGAGTGGAGATGTTGATACACAACCAGCATTAAAGAGTAACACCAAAACTCTACAAAATATTGCGTTAACTTACATGGAGGTTTTGTGAGGCCAGTGTGATACAGCCATTCAGGTATACAGGTTCCCTGGCTCACAGCAGCCTTACGTGACAGCAGAAATTATATGAAATACTTGTTGATAAAACTTACCGCCCTTGTCAGCAACAACCAGCCCAACCCATCGGGAACCATCCCGTTTCAGCCACGCCGTACCTCGTGGAGCACGACAGATTCCTGTTTTCACTTTCACGACTCCCCGTAGGAACTCTCAAAGCTTGTAATGTGCACTGACATCCACAAGATGACACCATTAGACCAGAAAACACTAACGGAGACACTCAATCCAGTCTCACAACAGGACTACAGTCTAAAGTTATCCTGTAGTTATGATTGTGTTTTGAGACTCAACTCCTTGAATCTATGTGTTAAGCTGCTTTCTTACATCGAGCAGAGAAAAATGTCTGGGGATCTCATCATCTGTCCAGCATGAGGTTTTTTTAATTACTGCATGAATGTACAGTTCAATAAAGTCAGAAGTTTCATATGCAAGAAATCCACCACTTTTCCTGTTGTCACGCCTATATTACAAACAGCGTGTTAGAGCAAAGGTCATCACAAGTAAAATGTGAAGTTTAACATAAAGGAGAGCAGCTTCTTCATCCCAATATGTCAGATGATGATACAGACATGTAACCAGAGAAAGAGTTTTACAGCTGACATCAGGTTCACAGTTCATTTCACAGTTTTAAAATGTCTAGTTTAAGGTTTTAGACAGATCCAGGATGAGGAGGTGGTGGATGTGGAAGGAGGAGCAGCAGAGAGGTATTTCTGGAGATCACACTGCTCTCCCTGAGGAGGAGGATGAAGCAGGAGGAGCTGGCTGACTCAAATCTGACCTGAAGCAGAGGTCTCAGTGTTGAAGAGATTGCTAAAGCAGGAAACCCAACCCTTCTGGATCAGGTCTACGAAGAGCTCTACATCACAGAGGGAGGGACTGCAGAGGTCAGTGATGAACATGAGGTCAGACAGATTGAAACAGCATCCAGGAAACTCAGTGGATGTGCTGGTGACAAACCTGATCAGGAGGAACCTGCTTCACTTTGCTCGCCTCTGGATAACCACACGAGCTGCAGCAGCCAATCAATGACACACTGTTTAAGCTTTTAATTGTCAAACACTGCTAATATACCCATGTGACATGCTGTAGGCTTATATGAAAAGCTGATGGCTTTAATGACTGACATTAAAGTTACATCAGGTGGCCCATAGAATGACCCTCATGCATTTGAACAAATCCTTGACCTTTTCTTTAGAAACACTTCTTCCAAACACTTTGCACACATGACACAGACATTTTCTCCTTTACTGTGCTGCACTAATCCCTGACCCTGTAAGTTTAGGGCTACACCTCTGCCCACGGTATCACTCATTTGCCAACATTGCCATAATAATAACTATAAATGTAGTGTGTGAGTTCATGGTGATGAAGGAACATGTGAGTAAGTGCAGAAGAGGCTCACTGATGGGTTTTAATAAGTTTTAATATATCAGGCTGTGTTACACACACACACACACACAGTACTTATTAGTAGATACATTCAGGTTTTGGGGCTTCTTTAATGTTAATAAAATAAAATACATCACTAGACTTCTTATTTAGGTTCAATGTGTTCCTCTTGTATATTTCATATTTATGTTTTAGAATCTGCAGGTTTTTGTAACAACATATTGACATTTGTTTGTGTCTTTCATCGACCATGTGTCAACATCTGTGTGTCCACTGTGTCTCTCTCTCCTGTGTTTCTGCTCAGGTTTGGGTCCTGTGTCTCTGTGTGAGCTGCTTCCTGTGCAGAGAAACACTGGAGACAACAGACAGCTGACATTTCACAACTTTATCTCCCTTTTCAAATAAATCACATTACAAACAGTTCATTTATCTTGTGACTGTTTACAGGCAGAAACAGTGGACCTTTACATATCTTTTGTTTTTACTGACCAACTCCAACTTGAAGATCTGTCTTTGTGTTCTGTGTTCCAGAATAAAAGTTAATCATTTCTAATCTTATCAAAAAGAAATACTTTTGTGCTTCTTCTGGTTCAAATATAAACGAGTAGGTTTCTGTTTTACAAGCCGAGTGATGAGTTTTAATGATCTGTAACATAACTGTAATAAATGTTAGTCATACAAACATATCCCAAAGTACATAAATTATATATAATGTAGCTAGAGGCATTTGGCTCTTATCCGTAACATTTACAACAGTACATTTCACAATATTATAGAATACTTTTTGTATTGTCTGTTTCTGGCACAAAGTCACTCAGCTGGTTAACACAGATTTTCACCTTTTTTTCATTATTATCATTATTGCGGCAGTTTACATTAAATGAGGTATTTTAATGAGGAAAAGTTCAGAAAACTGTCAAATAAAGAGAAAATAATTTATTTCTATCTTCATGTATCAACCATGTTTTTTCTCCTGACCTCATCTTTCTTGTATCGTTCATCATCCTCTCTGCTCTGAAGTAAACATGGACCACAAAGTACCTGTATACAAAAATACACAATTAGTTCTCCCAGAATAAGAAAAGACAGTTATCCCAAAATATTACTTATTTGTTTTGCTAGAATGAGAAAAGAGTTGAATCATGATCCCAACAGAACAATCTGACGTGTAAACATTGGGAGAATTATTACAGAATAATCTTCAGTATCTCAAGAATGAGACGTAATCATTAATGTCCTCCATATAAACTGTCTTCTTAATTATTAAAGTCAAAGTACTAATACAGAAATATTTTCATGTAATGATCGTTAGACATCAAGCAGTTATTCCCCGATCAGCACATTAGCTCCACACTGACGAGCGGGTCACCAGAGTTCAAACCGCTTGTCTTTCTTAAAGGGTGTTCGGTCCACAAAGTTGTTGCTGAAGAGTCTAGAAAAACACCAGAGCAGAGAGCAAACGTCACTCATTCAGCCACAATAACATGAGGAACAGGAGGAATTGAACTCGTCTGAGATCATGAAGGATTTCTCTGTGAGCACAAATGTCTTCATAAATGAACGGAGCACTAATTAATGTTTGCTCACCGCACAGTGCTGATGGAGGGGTTGATGGAGACCAGGTGGAGTAACTTTCCAGCTGAAGCATCAGAGATCTTATTGTGACTCAGACTGTAACATGCACACAAACACAAACAGAGACACGGCGCTACATTTATTACTGCCGAGGACAGAGCCCACACAGCGCTGTACGCATTTTAGTCACATGATCACATGTGTGTGTACAGGGGGACACTCACTCCAGGACCTGGACTTTGTGCAGATGTGTGATGAGTGTGAGCAGCAGCTGGTCGGTGAGCTCACAGTGACTGAGGTCCAGCTCTGTCAGCCCTTCAGAGAAGTCCAGCATCAGGGCCAAAGCTCCACAGGCCCTCTGATCCAGTGAGGTGTGACTGAGGTCCAGCTCTCCGTCCAGGGCTCTACACAGGGACACCGCCCGTCTCACTGTGTCCCCCTCACTGTTCACAGGAACCAGGGACACCAGCTGGAGGAGGACGGCTTTACTGGCTCTAAACAGGCCAATCAGAGCAAAGAACAGACGGTTACGATGCATCAACATGAGAACAAGCTCCTTCTCTGGTTTAGGTCACGCTGTGGTCTTTCCCACCTGAGGCGGACTCTGCGGAGGACAGGAAACAGCAGGTCCAGTCCGCTGTCCTCCACCTCGCAGTCCTGCAGGTTGAGCTGTGTGTCCCGGACGCTGCGTCTCAGGATGGCGGAGACGGCCCCGCAGTCCTCACCGGTCAGACTGAGAGTCTCGCTCTGATCCTCCTCTGGCAGCTCCACACAGGAGGAGCAGGACAGATCCAGCCTGTGCTGCACAGTCCTGAGCAGGCCGACTGCTGCCCCCTGCTGGGCGTCAGAGGCAGCACAGCAGTGCACCAGCCTCAGCAGCAGGTTCCTGTCCACACTGGAGGGAACATGGATTCAAAAATACATCATTATCAACATCTGAACAAACAATCTGATATTGATTGATATATAATATTTATTTTCAACATGGGTCTGATTATTGAAGTTGTTTCAGTCGTTTCTATCAGTAAAGCTTAAGATTTGGTAACACGGTAAGAACCAGTTTGTGAAGAATCAGAATGATCTTTTTACGTCATATATATATATATTTTCCAAGGTGCTCCAGGTAAAGGTGCATTATCTCCTGTGTGTTGGAGAGGACTGATCCAGGCACAGCTCTGAGAAACGAATGTCTGACCTGAGCTGAGAAACTTTGTCCAGCGTAAAGAGGATGGACTCTGTGTCCCCTGTTGGTATGGAGGTCCACTGGAGGTTCAGTTTAACTCTGTCACTGTGTTTGAGGGTGAAGAGCAGAGCAGCACAGTCCACAGAGTCCATCTCTCTGCAGGTCAGGTTGATCACATGATCCAGTGACCTCAGTAAACTGGGTATAATGGGACTGGCACGAGCTTTATAGATCTCTCTGATGGCAGTCAACACAAAGCCGGGACAGGGCCTGAAAGCAGAAAGTGTGTTCACCAGGACACTTTGTTCAGTCAAAGAATGAACAAACTGCTGTAAAACATGAGCCACAACAACACAAGAGATTGAACAGGATCAGCTGGACGTCTGTTTCTGGTAAAAACAAACAAAGTGATCACCTTTTAAATACAATCCTGTCCAGAAAGGGAAGCAGACGTGTGACGCTCTCCTGTAAGAAGAGGTTCTTCCTCAGGTTCACAGTGATGGTCTGAGCTGACGACTGCTGCAGCAGATAGTGAAGAAGCTCCCAGTTCAGACAGCAGGAGCTCAGGTCTCCACCAACCTTACTCAAGAAGGACCGGGTCAAGACCTCGTCCTGGACTTCATGGAGGAGGGAGAGGAGCTGCTGGAAAATCTCCTGACTCAGTCTGCAGATAAAAAGTGAAGTATTAATACATTTAGCATGTTCATTGATTAGTAAGTGTTGATGAGGCTCAGGAAAGACGTTTACTTGATGGTTAGAGGGCCGTCGTGCAGCAGCAGAGGAATGAGACCCTGAGCAGGGACGCAGAACTCATTCAGGTCCAACCGTCTGACTGCCCAGGATCTCAGCAGGGACGCCAAACTACTGACGACCTTCAACAGCACTCTGTCTGATGGTCGGGATTTCTGAGGGGCCAGAGAAAGCTCTTCAACAGCCAACGGACAGGCCGCTCTCCCTCTTCTCACCCATCGAGACAGTAGCAAGGCCATGTCGCTGGAAAGCCTGGAAACCAAAGACAGAGAGCAGCTGTGATGTAAAAGACGTTCAGCACTAACTGGACATCCAAACTGGAGGAGATGGTGTTAAAGAGCAAAGGTAATGATATAAATGTGAACCTCAGACTGTGGAGTTGTGTTGTACAGCTGAAGAGGAGGGAGGCTCCTCTGACAGACATCTTTCTGGGTGTGAGGACCAGATCCACATCAGAGCCACAGAGTCTGAGAACCCTCCCCACAGACCTGCAGGTTTTCCTGTGTAACTCTCCTGTTAACAGCAGGCTGAAGCCCAGGAGCTGCAGCACAGAGGCCAACTGCTCGGCCTCTCTGGATCTTACAGAGATGACTGCACACAGACTCTGGAAGAACTCTGGATCACAGCTAAAACACAAAGTGATGCATGAAGAGTGAAAACAGCAAAGGTAAAGTACAGCACATACTGCGTTACAAAGTAACTCGGGTACAAAGTCTTAACCAAAGGATGAAATTCAAAAATCAAATTGTGATTAGCTGTGATAATATCACACTAATACAGTATATTACATTGTTCTGCTAATTACTAAACAGAGAAATATAATTAAACTTTATCCACATAATGTTTATTTGTAAATGAGAGTAGATTTAGAAAGAAATAACATATTATTTTTCAAAATATAGTGTTTCTGTAACTTACCTGAGCTGTGAGATATAAGGCAGACACTGTAGGAAACTCCTCACTTCACTCTCTTCATCTGAGCAGCCTGTCAGCTCCACTGGTTTCTTTTCTGTTTGGAGTTTCAACACTTCCAGGAGGATGGAGGTCTTTCTCTCTGAGAGGTCTATGGACCAGACTGCAGGAGCTGACTGGAAAACTGACTGTAAGGATGGAAGGACTCTCAAGCCTGTTTTAGTCTCATAGTCCTTCAGGTGGGAGTACAGATTCAGCAGGAAACCACTCTGATATTTGTAATCATCATCATCATCCATGTCTCTCTCATTAAAAGGGAATGATTGATATCTGCACACTGATGTTAACAGCTCCAATATCTTTTCTCCTGTCTGCTGTTCTCTCTCTGCGGCTGCACAGAACAGATTCCCAAAGAACTTGGCTTCACTTTGAAACTGGATTAAGACACTGCAATGAAAATTTTACATTTTGTTATGATCTGATGTCAACAGCAGAAAAACAGCCATGAATTACTGATATGGAGTTTATCTGCTGAAAGCCTACAAATATCTGCTCATGAGCAGAATACACTAAAATAAATCAACCTGAAATTCAAGCAAAAATAATTTTAAAAGGGATATATGTGGATTTAAGAATAATAATAATAATAATAATAATAATAATCCTTATTTGTAGAGCACTTTTCAAAAACAAGTTACAAAGTGCTCTAACAAGTGTAAAGACAATAATACCCAAGAGACAATAATACAAAAAAAACAATACAAGATAAAAGCATGAAAGCATTGAAAAGAAAACTGTTACTAAAATATAATCTTGACAAAATGTTGAATGAAGCAGGAAAGTCAGGCTACAAAGGTGTATCCTCTCCTCTGTATTAAAGATTGTATGTTATACTGGAATACCACTCCTGAACCAACAGGGTGGCTGAAAGGAAAACTTTACCAAAAACATTTATTAATCAATCAGCTCCAAAGCTGAAATACTGGACCACAAGTTTTAACAACCATCATTCTGTAAAACTCTATAAAACTTCATACAGTACTAGTGTCACATAATTAGGATTTCTAGTGGTTTACTGACCACATCCTGATAACGCGGTTTCTTTTCAATATTGATAATAAACCACCTGATCAAAATCCTCTCATTCGCTCCTCTTAATCATTCATCGTTCAAACACCCTCCTCAGTTATAGCTCTTTTCTTGGCTATATTAGAGTCAGGGGAGCCAATAAATGAGCTCCAATCCAGCATCCATGACCAAACACATATTGTGATAAAAAATAAAAATTATTCAGCAGGACTCTGTGGGAGCATTGCTAAGGGTGTTTGATCTGCACAGAACTCTGGGCAATGTAGGAATAAACACACTGGGCTGCGTGGAATAAAACAGCATGTCATCTATAAAACTAAACACAGTGATAACATTTATGTGGACTGATCACCTGAACACTTTACCTTCACCTTCAAACTAACAGTGAGTTTCAAAAAATGTACACGGAAGTCATATGAAGTTCAATTCATTTACCTGAGCTGTGAGATATAAGGCAGACACTGTAGGAAACTCCTCACTTCACTCTCTTCATCTGAGCAGCCTGTCAGCTCTACTGGTTTCTTCTCTGGTTGGAGTTTCAGCACTTCCAGGAGGATGGAGGTCTTTCTCTCTGAGAGGTCTATGGACCAGACTGCAGGAGCTGACTGGAAAACTGACTGTGATCTTCGTAGGACTCTCAAGCCTGTTTCAGGATCAAATGAGTACAGGTCCAGCAGGAAATCACACCATTTCTCTTTAAAAGGGAATGATTGATATCTGGACACTGATGATAACAGCTCCAGTATCTTCTCTCCTGTCTGCTGTTCTCTCTCTGCTGCTGCACAGAACAGATTCCCAAAGAACTCGACTTCACCTGAGCCTCTAAACCAGAAAGAGAAACTGGAACGAGAATTGAACATTTAGTTATGATCTGATGTCAAAAGCAGAAAAAGAGCCATGCATCACTGAGTTTATCTGCTAAAAGCCTACAAATACCTGCTGATGAGCAAAATACAGTAAATCAATTAACCTAAAACTCAAATAACAATGACTGAGCCCATGTAACTCAAACTCTGTATCAGTGAGGTGTCTGAAGTCCACTACACACTGCAGTCTGTTAACAGACAGATGCTGTCTCTTCTATGAAACCTCTGGATCCTCACTGCGCTGCGTTATTATAAACTATGATGAACCGGTCGTTGGTCAAATCTCTCTCTCTCTTCCATTGGTTTCTATATTTTGTGTTTTATTGATGTGTGATTGTTTCCTTTAACAATTTACTTTCATGATTAGAGAGGCTGCTTTCAGTCATTTTTAACGTTTCCATGTGCGCAGTAAAGTCATAGCAAATATCGTAGGTCATTAAGCAGCACAAAAAATAAAACTGTAGTTTAACACAACATGACAGGACAGAGGAAACAGAATTAAACTTTTTGCTTCTGAAATAATTTAGACGCTCTGATGGAGCTCAGGATTAATCCGCAGGATGGCTGCTTAACTCCAAACAGTTACACTGTATGAACCTGGTCTCATACACAGTGTATGAGACCTTTTGGATGCTTAGAAGAACACTGAACAGGAATCAACATTACATCCTGTCCGATCCTGTCGGCTTGTCAGGAGATTTTGATAATCAATGAAGTTACACTGCTGTGTATCATGTGTAAATGCAAACAGCAGCTCTCTTACCATTGGAGTAATGAGCTCTAAAATAATAACAACAGTGAAATACTGCACCGATGACTTTAGACCTGTTTTTTTTTGTGGTCAATGGTGCAATTGCTTTCTGCTGCCTCAAGATAGCAATGTGCCAACAATCTTCCTGACCAAACCTCATTTTAAGACCAATACTCCCAAGGGTGCACATATGGGTGCGTGTGCATTTGCAACTTAAATGACATGTCTGTGTCGGTTGGGAAGTGGCAACAACACTTGCGCTAGGCTTTGCGCAGGGTGCGCGATAGGGCGCTAAAGAACAAAGAAGCTAGGAAAGAATACAAGAGGAAAACCTAATTACTGAAAAGGAACACAGGAAGCAAAGGAGGTGGGGGAGGTCTAACAATACCATGCCACAGAGTTTACCCAGGTGATGGCGCATAGATAAGACACTTGCCTTTGGTGTGGGAAACCTGGGTTTGATTCCCACTGTGAGACATCCACCACTGTGTCCCTGAGCAAGACACTTAACCCCTGGCTGCTCCAGAGGCGTGCGACCTCTGACATGTATAGCAATTGTAAGTCGCTTTGGATAAAAGCGTCAGCTAAATGAATAAATGTAATGTAAAACACAATGACACTGAGTCTAATAACGTTCAAAAATAAAACCCTAAACACCAACCCAAAACCATTACAGTTACGAATGCTTCGGCCAAATGTATTATATAACTATGAAACTGACACCCTTTCCTCCTCATAAATTATTGTCATAATTAAAATATTTAACTATAAAATCTAGTGTCCTAGTCCTAGTTTACAATGGATTATGGAATATCCATATTGAAAGGAGTAGTTTTCATTTTCATTGTTTTTATTGATTTGGCCTATAACGTAATAAAATGTACCTCTGACGCTATTGTTTACATTTCTTCAGTCATGTAAGTCTTTTGATTGTTTGCTTTAAGGGCCATGCTTCCCTCTTACAACTTCACTGCTGTCTCCATGTTTAACCTCTAAGCAAATGTATTTCCTTACATAGAGAAATGGAGCCGTGGCAGTATGCTGAGTGCAAATAGCGCCTGTCAATTTAGAATAATTCTGATTCACTAACATTCACACTGTTGTAAGAACAAAAACGGCATGCATGTGTCATTAATCCAATGGAAATTTTGCGTGTGTACTTATTTTGTGTGCAAAGTAAGAATATTTCTCAACACATATTAGTGAAGGAGGCCCATTGACTCTTCTGGATTATTCATTCTGATATTTTGTAACATGTGTGCGTTTCTGTGTTGTCGCTTATTCACTCTGCCCCAGGTCTGCTTGTCATGTCAAGTCTCTCTGTTTTCCTCTGCTCTCTCTCTCTGCCTTGTTAGTCTCATGTCTGTCACCTGTGTTGCTCCCGCCCTGCTCGTTAGTCCCTGTGTATATATACCTGGTGTTTCTGTCTTGTCTTTGTCCAGTCATTGTTCATGTTATCCCCCAGTCTGTTGCGTGTGTACTTGCTGCCTGCCTGTAACCAGCCTTGCTTGTCTTGTCTCCCTGTACCTTTTGGATTTCTGTTAGAATCACCTTGTTTTTTGGACTCTGTTAACCAGCCACTCTGTCAGTAAGTGTGCTCGCCTTTAGTTTGTTTTCCCTCAATAAACCCCGTTGAACTATACCTGCTCCACTCTGTGTCCTGCGTTTGGGTCCTCCAACCTGCCTCCACACCACTAATCGTGACAAATTCCAATCCAACAATCCATGACCAATAACATGTAACCAAAGATTCAATATTATGTAGCTGCACTACTGGAGGCTGCAGTTTCAGGACCGCAGCATTCCTTGGACCGCAGTTCTAGGACCGTTGTACTTTTACAACAGCGCCATCTAGTGGAGTGGTAGTGGTAATGCACAGTAACACGAAGGAGGTTAACCCTGTCTGCTAGCAGCTGTAGGGTTAACCGGTCAACATGCATACAATCAATAACTTCGGTTTAGGCACACACAATTGGCTTCGGGGACTGTCAAGAATAACATAGCTAGCTAGATAGCTAGTTAGGACTGCGGTTCTGAAACGGCAGCCTCTGGTACTGCAGCTACATACTACTCAAGATGTTTATGATTCAGGCCTGAAAATGTGAACCACTTCAGAGATGTCTTCAGATGACTCAAGACAGAAAATTCAGCTCTAACACATTGATGTACTTAGAGAAGAACATTTACCTGAGCTGTGAGATATAAGGCAGACAATGTAGGAAATTCTTCACTTCACTCTCTTCATCTGACCAGCCTGTCAGCTCCACTGGTTTCTTCTCTGGTTGGAGTTTCAGCACTTCCAGGAGGATGGAGGTCTTTCTCTCCGAGAGGTTTATGGACCAGACTGCAGGAGCTGACTGGAAAAGTGCTCTCAGTTTTGGAATGACACTTGAACACCCTTTACTCTTGATATGCTGATAAAAATCAAGAAGGATGTTATGTAAGTCATTGTTCACAGAAAACAATGAGAGAAGTTCGTTCACTACTCTGTGAAAGCTCTCTCCTTTGTAAAGTGCTGCTCTCAGGCATAAATCCAATAACAGCTCCTGTTTTTCCCTCTCCAGTGTCCCCTGGCTTTGTTGCTGGTCCTGTAATCCTGGACCTCTGTAGGTCCACCTGAAGCTTTATGATAACAAACACATGTATCAAACAGTGCATTACTGTAAAACTGTAATTTAATTGAAATCTATGCACATAAAGATGTAAACAAAAACAATGTTCACACTGTGCTAATCATTTGCAAAAATCTGTTAGTGCTACTATTTCTGCATTTTTTTTTTAACATGTGTTTAGTATATTTCTTTATTAGAACAATGCTTCTTGGCAAAAACTCCTATACCATTGGAATGCCCGCTTATTTCCCTTTTAAATGGTGCCTCATTTGTAAGGAACATGTATTTGTGGGAGAAGTACGCAATTAACGGTTATCGGATCGGTGGGAAAAAAATCCATATCATGCATCAACAGAATTTAGTTTTTAATTTATTTCTGTTAACCCTTCTATGATTGTTTTTGTGTACTATATGTTGACTGCTATGTAGCAGAAGAATTACATTTAAGTTAATCTGACCATTAAAGCTACCATGTACCTTAATAGGAATACATACAGATAGAGAGAGAGGAGGAGAGATGAGCTCAGCGCATCATGGGCAATCCACTGGCAGTCTAGTTCTATTGCAGGAAAACTAAGGGACGGTTCAGGACTCAGCAGAGCCAGCCCTAACTATATGCTTTATCAAAGCATAAAGTCTTAAAGGTTCAGTGTGTAAGATTTAGTAGCATCTAGTGGTGAGGGTTGTGAATTGCAGCCATCTGTCCAGTCTACCACTGCCCCCTACCCTTTCAAACAGCGTAGGACAGCTACGGTGGCTGACACAGCACAAATGATGTCTCTTCTGAGACAGCAGAGATTGTCCAGTCAAGAAATTAGGTTGTTTTAGGTATATTTATTAAGAAATTATATTTACTTAATTATTCAGTAAAACTATGTTATTGTGACTATATGTCCCTTTAAAAATTGTATAGTGGTAATTTATGCATGCTTATACAAAACGTATCTTGACCTTCTGGAGGTTCTAATGGCGAATTTTAGGACAAGATCATCCAAAAATATAAAACCAATGTTGTTACAAAGATTTTAGGTTAAACATAGCTAATTTTAACGTAAGTAAAGATTATTTAGATTAGTGAACAAAAGAGGTCCCTAGATGGAAGTAGAAAAGATATTCACCATTAGAACAGACCAGAAAAGGTGTGGTCAGCGAACATAGAGGAGGATCATGTAGAAATCCCGCCTAAGTAGGAGGAGATTGAGGATTATAAAAGATTAAGTTTGTGAACTGCGCAGTTAGTTCATCCTGATGCCTGCTAGTATGTAACTTGGGGTTTTGTCTTGTAAAAGAATAAAGAGTCTTTTTGCACCGTTTTTTGACTCCAGTAGGTTTTTGGACCCCAAAATGTCTTTTTTAGCAAAGACTATTATATTGCTGTTGACAAGTTTTGGGTTTTTAACCCAAACTTTTCCTTCAACAGCCAAATGACAGTAAATTCAACACAAACACATTGATGTACTTAGAGGGGAACCATCTACCTGAGCTGTGAGATATAAGGCAGACACTGTAAGAAACTCCTCACTTCACTCTCTTCATCTGACCAGCCTGTCAGCTCCACTGGTTTCTTCTCTGGTTGGAGTTTCAGCACTTCCAGGAGGATGGAGGTCTTTCTCTCTGAGAGGTCTATGGACCAGACCACAGGAGCTGACTGGAAAACTGACTGTGATCTTCGTAGGACTCTCAAGCCTGTTTCAGGATCAAATGAGTACAGGTCCAGCAGGAAATCACACCATTTCTCTTTAAAAGGGAATGATTGATATCTGCACACTGATGATAAGAGCTCCAGTATCTTCTCTCCTGTCTGCTGTTCTCTCTCTGCTGCTGCACAGAACAGGTTCCCAAAGAACTTGACTTCACCTGAGCCTCTAAACTGCTGAGAGACACTGGAACGAGAATTGAACATTTTTTTTATGACCTGATGTCAAGAGCAGGTAAATGAGGTACAATCAGCATCCATGACCAATCACATGCTGGGATTAAAAATAAAAATGATTAAGAGCTCAAAATGTGAACCACTTTAAGAAATGTGGTTCATTAATATCAGTGTGTTCGTCGTAGCTCCACTAAAATCAATATGTTAGTCAACACTAACACATTAATGTACTTAGAGGGGAAACATATTTTAATGCAGGAAACTACTGCTTCATCCCTGAGATTTGCTAAATCACAGCAAAAAGCTGTAAAACAGAAAAAACAACATCAGTGACCCTGAAGAAGAAATGAACTCCTCATCATCAACACAATGGTGTTGAGACCATCTCTGTTGCTGACATTGCTGGAGCTTGTTGGATCACATCATTATAGCTGAGTCTCTGTTTCCTTTTACTGAGTCCATAGATGACTGATGAAAACAGCCTCAAAGGAACAAACTTGGTGCTTGATGGAGGAAACACGTATCAGTTCATGGGAGATGAGCAGACTCTGTGGGAGCATGCTAGGGGGGTTGATCTGCACAGAACTCTGGGTAATGTAGGAATAAACACAGTGGGCTGCGTGGAATAAAACAGCATGTCATCTATAAAACTAAACAGTGATATAATAATAATAATCATCTTTATTTGTAGAGCACTTTTCAAAAACAAGTTACAAAGTGCTTTAACAAGTGTAAAGACAATAATACCCAAGAGACAATAATACAAAAACAATACAAGATAAAAGCATGAAAACATTGAAAAGACTAAAATACAGATAAATATAAAATTAGTAAAATAGAATAAAATAAAAGGGATAAAATAAAGTCAAATAAGATCGGGAAAGGCTCTCCTATAAAAGTATGTTTTAAGAAGGGACTTAAAAGAGTTCACTGAGTCAGCCGACCTGATTTCCTCGGGCAGGCTGTTCCAGAGCCTCGGGGCCCTGACAGCAAACGCTCTGTCCCCTTTAGTTTTCAGTCGAGACTCTGGAACAGACAACAGACCTCTGCCCGAGGATCTCAAGGTACGTGCTGGTGTGTATGGGACTAAAAGGTCAGAAATATAACAAGGCGAGAGGCCATGAAGAGCTTTAAAAGTAATAAATTGAATTTTAAAGTCAATTCTAAAACATACTGGGAGCCAGTGTAGTGAAGCTAAAATAGGAGTAATGTGGTCATATTTCTTTGTTCTGGTTAAAACCTGGCAGCTGAGTTCTGGACAGTCTGGAGTCGATCAATAGATTTTTGGGTTAAACAGGTGAAAAGGCTGTTGCAATAATCCAGGCGTGATGAGATGAAGGCGTATAAAATGGTCTCGGTGTCCTTAAAAGTTAACATAGATCAATTTTTGCTATATTTCTAAGTTGATAAAAACATGATTGAAGAAGCTTTGTGGTGTGCTGCTCGAAATTTAAATTACTATCAAACCAGACACCAAGGTTCTTTGCCACAGGCTTAATGTGATTTACTAGGGAACCAGCAGATGGCAGTATTTGATTTGCCATCTGCTGGGACCCGATCACCAGGATTTCTGTTTTCTCTGAGTTCAGCTGGAGGAAATTATTTGACATCCATTTTTTAACTTCACAAAGGCAGTTGTTAAGTGAACTCAGCATTCCAGGGTCTGTGGATCTGACAGGCAAGTATATTTGTGTGTCATCAGCATAAATATGAAAAGAAATGCCATGTTTATGGATAATATGTCCAAGGGGAAGCAGATACAAGGAAAACAAAATGGGTCCTAAGACCGACCCCTGAGGCACACCATATTTAACTGGACAGAACGAGGAGACATAGTTGTTTACAGACACACAAAACTTCCTATTTGACAGGTAGGATGAAAACCATTCTAGGGCAGTACCAGAGATCCCCATCCAGTGCCTCAGTCTGTCTAACATGATGTTGTGATCAATGGTGTCAAAAGCAGCGCTATGGTCCAGGAGTACTAGGACTGAGCACATGCCTTCATCAGCAGACATTAAAAGGTCATTGGTGACTTTAAGCAGGGCAGTCTCAGTGCTGTGGTACTTCCTAAAACCAGACTAAAATTTTTCAAATATTTTGTTATTTTCCAGTACAGTGAGCAGCTATTTGGACACAATTATTTCTAGAATCTTTGCAATAAAAGGCAGTTTTGAAATTGGTCTAAAATTATGCGGGAGGGAGGGATCTAAACCAGGTTTCTTTAAAAGTGGGTTTACACAAGCCGTTTTAAAATAATCAGGGACACAACCAGTAGATAGGGAGCTGTTGAAAAAAGAGATCAAATGGGGCCCAACAGAATCTATTACTTTCAGTAAAAATTTTGTAGCTATTACATCAAGTGGGCTGGAGGACACTCTCATTTGTGATACTGTTTTTAAAAGCTCAGACAAGTCGATAGGATGAAACTGGTTAAAACTCTCTTGTTGCTGGTGAGGAACCTCTGAGTAAGAGGCCGCGGGGGTAATAGAGGCTCTGACTGACACCACCTTATTGGTAAAATAAGATAAAAACAATTCACAGTTGAGTACTTCCAGCTGAGGCACAAGGAGGGGTTGGGTTTACCAGCTGATCCACAGTCTTAAACAGAAACCTGGGATTGTGTTTATGTGTAGTAATGAGTTCAGAAAAATATTGTGTTCTCGCATCCTTAACCAAGTTATTGTATTTAATTGATAAATCCTTCAGACTGAGGTAATGGACTTGGAGACTGGATTTTTTCCATCTGCGCTCTGCTTTCCTGCATTCTATCCAGGGTTGCTTACTAGCTTTAGACGTAGGCCTAACCTTTAGAGGAGCAGTAACATTTAGTGACGACAAGCAGATATGATTGAAGTGATCGACCAGATTGTTGGTGTTGGAATCAGACAGGTGTTGGCTTTGGCTCTGAAAGAATGCGCAAAACTTTGAAACACTTTGTTCATTAAAGAAGCGAGAACACACGGAGCTTGGTGAGGCGGAATGAGTAACAGGCGAATCGCAGCTAAAAAAATACATCTGTGGTCAGATATGGTCATGTCCACTAATTCCACAGAGGAAATGCTGACACCCAGGGTAAAAACCAAATCCAGTGTATGACCACGGTTATGTGTTTGCCCTTTGACATGTTGTTTGAAGTTAAAAGAAGTGGCCATATTTAAAAAGTCAGTTGCATTAACATTGTTGGGGTCATCAACATGAATATTAAAATCGCTACAAAGAACAATTCTGTCATAATTTAAAACCAGAGTAGATAAAAATTCAGGAAGTTCTGATAAAAATCCTCCAGGCGGTTTTGGGGGGCGATAAATTATAACAAATATGATAGGTTGCAGCCCTCCAACTTTAAGAGTGAGAACTTCAAAGGAGTTAAATTCATCACAGCGTACTTGATGACATTTTAAATTTTTCCTATACACGCTCACTAGCCCACCACCACGACCACTGACCCTCGGTTGACTAAAACAATCATATTGAGGCGGACACAGTTCAGCTAGCTGGCTATAGTCATTCATCTGCAACCAGGATTCAGTTAAAAACATAAAATCTAGATTTGCAGACAAGATAAATCATTTAAGATAAAAGTCTTACTTGAAAGTGATCTCACATTGAAGAGAGACATTTTAAATGAGTTTGTTCTGGGTGCTGGAGTTGGTGCAGTTGTCCTAATCCTTAAGAGATTACTAATATTTCTATGTGGAATGTGCACATTTCGGTTTACTGGTCTATGCGTGATGATGACAGGAATAGAAGTCTTTGGAACAGCGCTGGGAGCAGACGGCTTTACATGCCAGCAGGTGGAGACAGTTGTTTGTGGCAGTGAGGCAGAGATCTGTTCAGTGAGCGGTGGTGTGTCCAGCTGTGCTGCATGAATGATTAGTCATTCACGTAAATCATGTGTGGACCGCACCACATGCTGTATGTGCGCAGCTAACATTTCTGAGCCCCGTTTGTTTGGGTGAAGTCCGTCTGTCTTAAAGAGAGGCATTCTTTGCCAGAAAATATTAAAATTCACGATATCACGTTTATGTGGACTGATCACCTTTACCTTCAAACTAACAGGGAGTTTCCAGAAATGTCCACTGAAGTCATGTGAAGTACAATTCATTTACCTGAGCTGTGAGATATAAGGAAGACACTGTAGGAAACTCCTCACTTCACTCTCTTCATCTGAACAGCCTGTCAGCTCCACTGGTTTCTTTTCTGGTTGGAGTTTCAGCACTTCCAGGAGGATGGAGGTCTTTCTCTCTGAGAGGTCTATGGACCAGACTGCAGGAGCTGACTGGAAAACTGACTGTAATGATGGAAGGACCCTCAAGCCCGTTTTAGTCTCATAGTCCTTGAGGTGGGAGTACAGATCCAGCAGGAAACCACTCTGATATTTCTGTTTATCATCATCCATGTGTCTCTCTTTAAGAGGGAATGACTGATATCTGCACACTGATGTTAACAGCTCCAGTATCTTCTCTCCTGTCTGCTGTTCTCTCTCTGCTGCTGCACAGGACAGATTCCCAAAGAACTTGACTGCACCTGAGTCTCTAAACCACTGAGAGACACTGGAACAAGAATTGAAAATTTTGTTATGATTGGATGTCAATAGCAGAAAATGAGCCATGCATTACTAATATGGAGTTTATCTGCTAAAAGCCTACAAATACCTGTCAATGAACAGAATCAAGTAAAAACAATCAACCTATAACTCAAGTAACAATGATTTAAACAGGGATATATGTGGATTTTAGAAAACTTTAACTAAATTAAATTCTTGACAAAATGTTGAAGGAAGCAGGAAAGTCAGGCTACAAAGGTGTATCCTCTCCTTTGTATTGAAGGATTGTATGTTACCTTCTTCCCAAGTACAAAGCTCTGAATGGTCAGGCACCATCTTATCTGATCTTAAAGAGCTCATACTACCTTACTACCCCACCAGAGCACTGTGCTCCCTGAATGCAGGGTTACTTGTGGTTCCTAGATTCTCCAAAAGTAGAATGGGAGCCAGAGCGTTCAGCTATCAAGCTCCTCTCCCTTGGAACCAGGTTCCAGTTCGGGATCAGGAGGCAGACACCATCTCCACATTTAAGAGTAGCCTTAAGACTTTCCTCTTTGATAAAGCTTATAGTTAGGGCTGGCTCAGGTGAGTCCTGAACCATCCCTTTGTTATAGGCCTAGACTGGCGGGAGACTTCCCATGGTGCACTGAGCTCCACTCTTCTCTTTTTTCTCTCCCTCTGTATGCAACCTCATCCCATAACTGCATGTTACTAACTCGACTTTTCCCTTTCCCGTAGTCTTGTGCTTTCTCGTCCCTTTCCTCTCTCCTCTTATCACTTTCTGCAGGTGTTTCTGGCTCTGGAGCTGTTGAGTCTGGATCTGTGGTTGCGAGTCACCTGCTGCCCCCGTGTTCCTGCTCGACACCCTCTGTTACAATTGTTACTAGTCCTATTGTTATTCTTACTTCTATTAATATCATTAACATTACTATAAATATCTGTACCATTATTCATTCAGTCTGTACCAACATTAACTGTACTGTCTGTACCTCTGTGTGTATATTGTGTAGGCTGCTCCCCCCCATCCATCCCCACCCCTCTTTATGGCTATCTCTCTCTCTCTTGTTCTTTCTCGCGCTCTCTCTTTCTCTCTCTCTCTCACCCCAACTGGTTGAGGCAGATGGCCGCCCACCCTGAGCCATGGTTCTGCTCGAGGTTTCTGCCTCTGTCTCCTAGTGCTGCTCTTGGTGGGAACTGTTGGGTTTCTGTAAATAACATCATAGAGTATGGTCTAGACCTGCTCTTTTATGAAAAGCTCTATGAGATACGAATAAAATTGAATTGAATATATACTGGAATACCACTCCTGAACCAACAGGGTGGCTGAAAGGAAACCTTTACCCAAAACATTTATTAATCAATCAGCTCCAAAGCTGAAATACTGGACCACAAGTTTTAACATCCACCATTCTGTAAAGCTCTATGAAACTTCATACAGTGCTAGTGTCACATAATTAGGATTTCTAGTGGTTTACTGACCACATCCTGATAACGTGGTTTCTTTTCAATATTGATATTAAACCACTTGATCAAAATCCTCTCATTCACTCCTCTTAATCATTCATCGTTCAAATATCCTGCTCAGTAAAAGCTCTTTTCTTGGCTATATTAGAGTCAGGGAAGCCAATAAATGAGCTCCAATTCAGCATCCATGACCAATCACATGTTGGGATTAAAAATATAAACGATTAAGAACTCAAAATGTGAACCACTTTAAATAGAACCACTTTAATGTGGCTCATTAATATCAGTGTGTTCGTTATAGCTCCACTTAAATCAATATATTGGTCAACACTAACACATTGATGTACTTAGAGGGGAAACATCTTTTAATGCAGGAAACTACTGCTTCATCCCTGAGATTTGCTAAATTACAGCAAAAAGCTGTAAAACAGTAAAAAAGAACATCAGTGGTCCTGAAGAAGAACTGAACTCCTCATCATCCACACAATGGTGATGGTCTCTGTTGCTGACATTGATGGAGCTTGTTGGATCACATCATTATAGCTGAGTCTCCTTCCTTTTTACTGAGTCCATAGATGACTGATGAAAACAGCCTCAAAGGAACAAACTTGGTGCTCGAAGGAGTAAACATGTCTCTGGACTCGTTGCTAGGGGGGTTTGATCTGCACAGAACTCTGGGTAAAGTAGGAATAAACACATTGGGCTGTGTGGAATAAAACAGCATGACTGATCACCTTCACCTTCAAACTAATGGAGTTTCCAGAAATGTCCACTGAAGTCATGTGAAGTACAATTAATTTACCTGAGCTGTGAGATATAAGGAAGACACTGTAGGAAACTCCTCACTTCACTCTCTTCATCTGAACAGCCTGTCAGCTCCACTGGTTTCTTCTCTGGTTGGAGTTTCAGCACTTCCAGGAGGATGGAGGTCTTTCTCTCTGAGAGGTCTATGGACCAGACTGCAGGAGCTGACTGGAAAACTGACTGTAATGATGAAAGGACTCTCAAGCCTGTTTCAGGATTATACGAGTACAGGTCCAGCAGGAAATCACACCTCTTCTCTATAAGAGGAAATGTTGATATCTGCACACTGATGATAACAGCTCCAGTATCTTCTCTCCTGTCTGCTGTTCTCTCTCTGCTGCTGCACAGAACAGATTCCCAAAGAACTTGACTTCACCTGAACCTCTAAACCGCTGAGAGACACTGGAATGAGAAATTAATATTTTGTTATGATCTGATGTCAACAGCAGAAAAACAGCCATGCATTACTGATATGGAGTTTATCTGCTAAAAGCCTACAAACATCTGCTGATGAGCAGAATACACTAAAATAAATCAACCTAAAACTCAAGTAACAATTTCCAACACTAACGTACTGCTGAGAGACAGAAAGACCAGCTAGTGTGTCTGGTAAGACAGTGTGCCCCCCATCCCAGCTACCACCCAGGACTGTCATTCTGTGAATCCATTTACCTGAGCTGTGAGATATAAGGCAGACACTGTAGGAAACTCTTCACTTCACTCTCTTCATCTGAACAGCCTGTCATCTCCACTGGTTTCTTCTCTGTTTGGAGTTTCAGCACTTCCAGGAGGATGGAGGTCTTTCTCTCTGAGAGGTTTATGGACCAGACTGCAGGAACTGACTGGAAAAGTGCTCTCAGTTTTGGAATGACACTTGAACACCCTTTACTCTTGATGTGCTGATAAAAATCAAGAAGGATGTTATGTAAGTCATTGTTCACAGAAAACAATGAGAGAAGTTCGTTCACTACTCTGTGAAAGCTCTCTCCTTTGTAAAGTGCTGCTCTCAGGCATAAATCCAGTAACAGCTCCTGTTTTTCCCTCTCCAGTGTCCCCTGGCTTTGTTGCTGGTCCTGTAATCCTGGACCTCTGTAGGTCCACCTGAAGCTTTATGATAACAAACACATGTATCAAAAAGTGCATTACTGTAAAACTGTAATTTAATTGAAATCTATGCACATAAAGATGTAAACAAAAACAATGTTCACACTGTGCTAATCATTTGCAAAAATCTGTTGGTGCTACTATTTCTGCATTTTTTTTAACATGTGTTTAGTATATTATTTCTTTATTAGAACAATGCTTCTTGGCAAAAACTCCTATACCATTGGAATGCCCGTTTATTTCCCTTTTAAATGGTGCCTCATGTGTAAGGAACATGTATTTGTGGGAGAAGTACGCAATTAACGGTTATCGGATCGGTGGGAAAAAAATCCATATCATGCATCAACAGAATTTAGTTTTTAATTTATTTCTGTTGACTGCTATGTAGCAGAAGAATTACATTTAATTTAATTTGACCATTAAAGCTACCATGTACCTTAATAGGAATGCATACAGATAGAGAGAGAGGAGGAGAGATGAGCTCAGCGCATCATGGGTAATCCCCGGCAGTCTAGGCTATTGCAGGAAAACTAAGGGACGGTTCAGGACTCAGCAGAGCCAGCCCTAACTATAAGCTTTATCAAAGCATAAAGTCTTAAAGGTTCAGTGTGTAAGATTTAGTGGCATCTAGTGGTGAGGGCTGTGAATTGCAGCCATCTGTCCAGTCTACCACTGCCCCCTACCCTTTCAAACAGCGTAGGACAGCTACGGTGGCTGACACAGCACAAATGATGTCTCTTCTGAGACAGCAGAGATTGTCCAGTCAAGAAATTAGGTTGTTTTAGGTATATTTATTAAGAAATTATATTTACTTAATTATTCAGTAAAACTATATGTTATTGTGACTTGGCCACTGACAGATAAAATGTAAGCCAAGAGTGTGAAACACCGTCACTGTTTCTGCACCACAGTCCATTATAAACCACACATTAGATACAGTTTATACAAACATTGACAAGGGAAAGACATTCATTCTCTCTGTGATTATGGACCCTCGCCAAATCTGCCCGCCAGCAATAATATCTGGCCCGCTGCCAGATTATGGTGCTTTGATAGCTGCAAAAAATATAAATAAATAAATGCTTTGATGGCGGTGCTGAAATAGATCTCAGTAATGACAGCAACAGTTACTCACAGAATCACTTGCTCTTTAGTGGTTTTGCCCACAAAATAAAAGCGTGAGAAGCTTGTTTACTGTAATGCTTTATTTGGAGTTGAACTGAGCTTTTACTTTGAAAAATTCTGAATGACATTAAAAGAGTCTGCTTGACACACCTCTGAAAGAGCCATCCCCCTAAATGTCCTCTGCCTGGAGATACTGGGGAAATGCAAAAGTGTCCGTAGGTTGATGGATGTGGATCAAACACCGAAAGAAAAACAGTGCAGTGCATACCGTGATCTGAGAAACATTTGCTGCAGAATCCATTTGTTGAAGAGAGAAAAAGATGTTGTCCCAACGTGGGATCAAACACTGAACCACTGGGATATGAGTCCTGCACCTTACTGACTGAGATAACCTACATGTTGATGTAATTAAATATAAAACCTTATATTCTCACCCAAGATCTAATGGTTGAAAATATTGCTCCAATGCAAAACTTATTTGCAGACCCCTGCTGTATATTATTACTACTTCTTCTTCTTACGTACTGTACGTAGACATAGTAAACATAGTGAACATAGTGAAGAGTGTCTGCACTGCCTGAATTCTACCAGAAGTAAAACAAGAACAACGTAGTAACGAAACGTGCTCTGTAGTGCTGTTTGTCCATTTTCAGCTACTGTAGAAACATGACGACGCAACATGGCGATGTCCATGGAAGAAGGTGTCCGCAGTTATGTAGATATAAATGTCTCATTCTACGGTAATAAAAACATAATGGGTTATTATGAAAGGTCTTTATACACCACTGAAAACATAGTTATGGATCTTATATTGCATTTCTATCGATAGAAATATTACACACTGAACCTTTAAGCCTACTTTTAAATAGGAGACTGTAGGAACCACACTTAACTCTGCATTCTGGGAGAGCAGTGTTATAGTGGCGTAATAAGGTACAATGAGATAATATGTAAGGTAAAACACATTATTGTGACATACTGAAATTCAATCTCTGCATTTAACCCATCCCAAGTATTAGGAGCAGTGGGCAGCCAACCAACTCCAGATTAAGATTTAAACCAGTGTCTTCATCAATGCTCTGACTGGGGAACCTAACATGTTTTCTCTACGGAAACTGGAGCACCTGGAGGAAACCAATGAAGACACGGGAGAACAAGCAAACAGAAAGGCCCAGGATGACCAGGGTTCAAAAGTGAGACCTACGTGCTGTGTGTCCACAGTACTTCCACTGGACCACTGTGCCTGACCTTTAAGGACTTTGTAGGTGAGCCGATGGATTTTAAATTCTGGACTTTACAGGGAGCCAATGCAAAGAAGCTAAAACAGGAGAAATGTGATCTCTTTTCCTGGTTCTTGTCAGAACATGTGCTGCAGCATTCTGAATCAGATGAATAGTCTTAAGTCTTATTAGAGCAACCTGATAATAAGGAATTGCAGTAATCCAACCTAGAAGTAACAAATATGTGGACTAGATTTTACACATAATTTTGAGACAGGATGTTCCTGATGTTTGCATTGTTACGTAGGTGAAAACAGACAGACCTTGAAATTTTGTTTGTCGCTTCTCACCTCATTTATTACCTCAAACACTTTCCTCATGAGTTTTTGGTCTCAGTCGCTAAATTCAAGTCTTCGTCAATACAGCATGATTGTTAAGTGTGGTTTTGTGTTCATGTCTTCCCTGTTTAAGTCCGTTTTGGTTCTGTGTTTCTCTGTGTAGCATTGTTATTTATTCAGTCTCATGTTCTAGTTTACTTAGTATCTGTCTTGTCTGTTTCTTAGTTCCTTGTTCTGTGTATTGTATACGTGGATCAAAAACAACATTGGTATTAAGATTCAGGATTGATGTTGAGGAAAAGTGTGTTTTTTGCAATAATGAAACTGAAAGCATTTGTCATTCATTTTGTGTGTGTCAAATATTTCTTTAAGAACACGACTTTATATATTTACGAAAATAAATATCTTTTATGAAAAGAATGATATTCATTGTAAAGAAAAGCCTATTTATTTGAATCTCTTTAACTTAGCCTATATGAAAAATGTTACATTCACATATACATTTCAATATAAATCATATGGGCTACGTTGTTAACCTGTGAATGGTGACGTGACAATGTTAGTGTAGTTTCAAAATAAAAAATCCTACATGTTTATCGGCGAAGTCACACGGAACACAAATTGAAAGAAAGGTCCCCCATCGTGCAGCAAAGTGTGTTACACACCTTCAACAAGCCAGCATTGGTGCTGACTCGACATTTGAGGGTTTAAAAACCCACTACCACTCTGCCCTCATTGGTTTCGGATGGCACTCAATGTGGCGGACCCTCCGCATGAACGCGCAAACGGATTGGAAGTATGTAGGGAAAGAGCATGTGACCGGAAATCGATCTCAGCAGTCCATCTTGAAGGACATATTAATTCTTAAAATGCACATCGAGGACAGAGGAGGCTTGCTGGAGGAGCTATAAGCGAGGATCCATCAGTGTATCCTTTGCGGAAGTCTTTTCAGCCACTCTGATGTTTACATGAGGCACGACAAGCAGCTGGACCAATCCGGAGCCGGAGCAGGACGCTTGCAATGTTCCTGTTAAATTCATAAGTTGTATCAGTTAAGCCTATTAAAAAGAATCAAATGCGCTATCAAACTTTCTGCCCTTCATCGTTTGTGTAGCGCCTCACAAAGCGCTGTTCTAACCGCATTCCTTAATGTCATTTCACTTAATATCACTGATGTTATTGTTGAATGTCATGCAGGATTGTAAAAATGAACATTAAATAGCGGCTGGATGAAGCGTCTCCCCAGTGACACTGTGCACATTTACGCACGAGCCACAGCAACATAAATTAATAACAATAAATCTCCCGACACGCCGACAGGATCGGTGTTAATTCATCCAGTTTCATACAGTAAAAGTGTTTGGAGTAAGCAGCTGTCCTCCTGATCAACCCTGAGCTCCATCAGAGTCTAAACATGGATTATAGAAGCCGAAAGTTTAATTCTGTTTCCTCTCTCTGACCTGTCAAGTTTATTACTGCAGGTTTTTTCTGTTTTGTCCCACGGTATTTGCAGTGACATTACTGCACAGATAGAAACGTTTAAATGACTGACCGCAGCCTTTCTAATCACCAAAGTAAATCATTAAAGAAAACACTTATACATCAATATAACACACAAGAAAGAAATCGCCTGGAAAGCTACAGGGACCGGCGGAGGTGGGGGTAAAACGTCCATGCAGATGCTGGTCTCTAAATCTGATAAAATAATTAGTTGGTGGGGGGCAGGTGGAAGATTTATGCATATAGGCCTATATGAGTTTTGTTAATGTCCGAGCCGATCCGCATCATCACAACAGTTCAGCTGCTATAATCGTGACAAAACAGCTGCTGAAGTCAAATTATTAGGCTGCAATATCAACCAGACCATTCAACACTGATCTGTTTCATGTTTTAATAGTGTTAATAGTTATTTTCTAAATTATGGTCCCATTTAGAGGGAAACAATGATATAGCAGGGTATGCTTTTATGCTTTGTTAGTTGTTACACAGCAGCCTGTGTGAATCCTTACCCAGCTCAACCCTCTATGAGACTTTGGTCACTTCCTGTCACAAAAAAACAAGATCCAAACTGAAGGCTTCAAAAGAGTGGTCCCCAAACCAATGGGAGACGTCACGGTGGCTACAGTTTTTATACAGTATGTGATCCCGGCTCGTGGACTGCTGTCGTGCTGTTTTAAAAGATTATGTCTAACTGTTTGTGGATTTGGTGTTACAATGGCTGTGTTGGCTACACTGGAGCGCACCTCCAGACAGCACATTCATTTCAGATGCTGTTCTCTCATAATGTTTGCCATGTATTAAGACTGAGTATCTGGAAACAGACTTGCATCTCTCACTACAGTAAGTGCTGAGTTAAATAATTATTTTTTCAATTTCCCTTTAATATTTAGTATAAATTGTGAAAAGGCCTCTCTCTCTCACTCTTGCTCTCTCTCCCTCCCCACATGAACCTGTCCAGGGTTCTGAGGGTTTTTATGATGTATCGCATCCAAATCTGCAGGTCTGATCTGATGATGGAAGTGGCCCCAAAAAAGGATTTATATTCAACATTAATGGTTTTACAAAAACATAAAAGTTAATGCGGAATCAGCATCACACAAAACAAAAGCTACATACCTGAGTGAGTGGATGTAGGGCAAAGCCTCTAAGAGAGAATCGCACAGACTTTGGCAGGCAGGAGTTTCCCTGTCCCAGTGGAGGCAGATATTAAGCTGCGTAGTGATCTTCTGCATGACTTTTACTGCTCTTTCAAACAGCCGTCTTTACCCTCAACTGGAAGGTGCAACTGATTTCCATCCAGGCTGAGTAAGCTGATGTGGTCCATCTGCCATCTGTCCTCACTGAGAAGGAAAATCTCCCACAACTGCCGTGGCAGAGGACCACACCTGTAATTTAAGAATAAGACAATTTCCACATTTAAAAAGTAATAGAGTAGAGTGATAGTAAAGTTAATAAAATAGCCTGTTAGCCTCTTGGATTAATTAATAGACACAAAGACAAACTACTACTTAATTAGATGTAACCTAAACAGTATTTTAAGAGATTTAAGCAAACGCTCACACATACCACTGGACATTTTGAAGGCATCCTAACAGTCGTCTCATTCCTTGCTCTGACACCATGACGTCCTCCAGGTTCAGCAATATTTTCCTCTCCTTCGACTGAGTGACCACGTAGGCCACAGCAGAGCAAAGGTAAGGCTCGAGACTCTCTCCACTGAGATCAAGATGGTAGTCCAGTTTCTCCAGGAAGTTGATGCTCGCTTCAGGACACTGGGACTCATACAAGCACTGACATAAGAACAGTATGTCCACATCAAGCCCACTGTCCTCAGTATCATCCTCGTCTTTCTTACTGAGACAAGGGAAAAATGTGGTTATCAGTTCCTCGAAGAACCAGTCAGACGTGTTCTTGAGCTCCTGAGCTGGAATCAGATGCTTCATCAAACTAGGGCTCTTGTCAGTCAGCAGTCGACACATGAAAGGGATCAGATGTTTCATGTGTTTCTTCTCCTCAGTGAGGCTCTGCTGAAAAACATCCCTGATCTTATCTGGATTCTTCAGCAGCCACAGTGCTGCAAAAAACTCCTGCATTGTGTAATGGAGAAATGCATGAGTGGTGATTATCTCAGTGGGGGCCACTTTGATAACAAGAGGTTTCATGAAGGAGAGGACGCAGCTGTCTTCACAGGGCAGTTCTGTCAAGTTCACAGTTTTTTCTACAGTTGCTTTAAAAGCAAACTCGGCCAGAGACAGAATTTCTTCACTCCTGTTGTTGATGAAGGAATTTAGATCTTTGGTTTTTGTTTTGTTGATTGTTTGAAGGCAATGACGAACAATATTGATGTAGATTTCAGTTACAGTGCATGGCTGTGGAGAGTCTTCTGGTGTCTCTGATGAAAAGCAGACAGCCACCATCAGTGCATACATTGGGACATGGCAAAGAGTTAACAACTCCAGGTTGCTCAAAACCTTCTCCTGTTCTTCTCCTAGAGTTGCAGATAAATGTTTTTATGGTCTGCTCACTAAAGCCTTTCACTTCCACTCTGAGGAAGTCCTCAAAAGGAAGTCTTCTTCATCATCTGGTCTGCATGTTACGATGATCTTGGCATCAGGTAGTAGGTCCTTCTCTACAAGTCTCTTCACCACTGATGAAGAGAGATCTGTGATTCCATCAAAAATGAGTGTAACATTGTCAGAGTTCTTCTTTATGTCCTGTAAGACCTCTTCTTTGCCTTCATCTGGCTCACTGATCACACTGAAAAGAAGATCCTCCAGGCTCTTGGCCATCATGATGTGGGATGTTTCTCTCATGTCAAAGTAGAACATGTAGTCGAGCTCCTTGTTGTCTCTTTCTGCCCAAAGTTTCAACATTTCGTGAGTGAGTGCTGTCTTTCCAATTCCAGGCTTACCAACCAAGAGGATGTTTTTATCTGTCTTCAGCAGGTCACTGGGGGAAATGTCTGGTCTGTCCTCAGGGATGTATGTCCTCAGCTTTTTAGGGCGACTCATCTTGCTCTTCTTGTTCTTCAATTTCTTTATTTTAGATGGAGAAACACTTCCTTGTGTGTCTAATACAAGAGCAGCGTACGACAGATCAGGCTTTTTGTTTCTGTCAAATTGAATTTTGTTTGCCTTCCAAAACTCATTTGATATTTTTTGTGCTTTTGACTTCAAGTTTTCCTGGTATCTGTGGCACGGACTGGAGCCTAAAATAAAAACAGTGAGAAAATATAGGAATATAACTGATTTGGCCTTACTCTAAAGTAGGGCTGCACCTTTCCAAAATTGATTAAAATAACTTATTTATTGATAACTCTAAATATTTGTTTTTTTATTACCAATTTAATATAACAATTAATTTATCCTAAATAGCCTAAATATAAAAAACTTCATTAGTCATATATTTATTTAATCATCCTGAAAAAGAGACACATTAAAATAATGATATTGTGAGTATAATTTCCACATCACTGCTGTGTTATGATATTAAAAATAATAACATATATAAAATATATCAATCAATCAATTTGTCAATTGCTGGATAAGAAAAATACAGGACTTCCGATTCAAAAGGATTGTTGTGACACAGATTAATTTAATCACTGTTTGTCAACCCTGTCCTGAACTGGAGAATCATTATTTTTACCGAAGAATATGACTTAAAACATAAAGGTTCGGTGTGTAAGTTTTAGTGGCATCTAGTATTGAGGGTTGTGAATTGCAACCAACTGCTCACTGTTCATTCATGTGCTCCTCGGATGGTCCCGTTTCCCATTCATTCTAATGGCAAAATTCCACATTCATAAATGTAAACTTTGTAGCTTTTCTCTATGAGGATGTGCATTATGTCAATAACAACAACAAAGACTGTGAAAACAACATATGGTCCTCTTTTCTCTTCATATAATATAGGCCACCCCTGTCATCTTATATATTTGTATACGGTTCTGTATCCTGTACTTCTTTATGTCCCATAAACACTTTATTCCTTTTTTTGCAATAAAGATCTAAGGATGAAAAAGATTCAGATTATTCTGACACATGAATGCACCATCTGTCACTCCTCACCGCTCCCTTTCCAAGCCCGTAGGAGAAGCTACGGTGGCTGTCATGCGCTGTTGGCTCTTCTGGAAATAATACATGTAGTCCTCTATTTGTTGAAATTCCAAGTCTCTTATTACTTCTAATAAACCAGACAACTACAACTTCTACAACTTCTTCTTCCTCCTTCTTCGTTCGAATTTAAGTAGTGATGAAAAACGTTCTGTAGAGTAGTTACATGTAGAGTAGAAACATGGCGACTTCTATCTACACACTACGTATGTAGACAGAAATGTCACATTCTAAGGTAATAAATACATTATGGTTTATTATATAAGGTCTTTACACACCACTGAAAACATAGTTATGTATATCATATTGTATTTCCGTAATTAGATCCTCAAAAATTATAGCGACTGTGGGCAACGCTTAAATATTTGCAGCCACAATGGACTACACACTGAGAGAAAACACTGCGACGCGCTAAAATCATTTATTACACTTCAACACATAAAAGTACAACTGGCACTGCAGTTACCAAGTGATAAAATTGCTGTGTGAGTGCAGTCAACAGAAAGTGTTTTGAGCTCCTCTCTCCTCTTCTTTCTCTCCCTCTGTATGCAACCTCATCCGATTATTGCATGTTACTAACTCGACTTCTCCAATTTCCAGTAGTCTTGTGCTTTCTCGTCCCTCTCCTCTCTCCTCCTATTACTTCCTGCAGGTGTTTCTGGCTGTGGAGCTGTGCTCGACACCCTTGGCTACAATTATTGTTACTAGTCCTACTGTTGGGGTTATACCGTGTAGCCACATGGTGGCGCTATAATTAAGACTTAAAAATGCAAACTTTGAAAGGCCACGCTCCTTACATCGTAAGTCCAATTGACTTAAAATTTCTCACACAGGTGCAGCTCAATGTGCTCTACAAAAAGCCTCTGGGACGATTCAGGTGCGCCAATACATTTTTCTGCCATTTTGAATTTTTTGAAAATCACATTTTCTCCTCCTAGACTGTAGCTCCGATTGCCACCAAATTTTCAGTGATTCATTATCATTGGATCAAGCCTATTAAAAGTTGTATGAAGCATGTCGATATCTCAATAACTTTTCAAGATATGGACCAATGAACTTTGAAAGGGGCATGGCTCTAGACATAAATGACCACAATTAGCAACCGCACGGCCAATCATCACAAAACTCACAGGATATGTTCAGATAGGGCCTCGGATATACCTGGACAGTTTGATGTACATACGTCACTTGTGGGAGCTACAAGCGCAAGACAGGTGCATTGCATTACACAAATTATACTATAAATCACATGTTCATTCTCCAATCATCACAAATCTCTCAGGATGTGTCCTCATAAGTAAGTGAAACACTCCCTGAAACTTCCATTCAAATCGAACACCTGGGAGCACTATAAATGCACACAATCAGCAGGGGATAAAGCACAAAACAGGCTGCAAAATGCATACTCTTTGCCCAATCAACACAAAACGTGCAGATATGTCTACATAAGCACCTCACACATACACTGGAAGTCTCATTCAAATTGACCTCTAGGAGGCGCTATAAATGCATAATAATTGGATGTGGAATGAAACAAATCAAGCTATAGATCAGAAAATGCTTGTCCAATCACTACAAAACATCAAATGTGTTTCATAACAATATTGAACCT